ATTTCTCTTGGTGAACTTGAAGGAGCTTCTACTCTACCATGTAGATTTGATTTCTGGAGTGAAGGACCAAGTCGAGACTCTTCATAAGGAGCTTAGTTTGATGAAAGCGTTTCTCAAGGACTCCAGGGAGAAGCGTAATGAATCAGAATATGTTAGGGAATTGGTTAAACAAATCACCGTGGTTGCTTATGACGCTGAGGATATCATTGACACATTTGTTGTCAGCGAATCATCTGAGAGGGGGAGAGGAGTGAAAAAAATGATCCCTGTATTTGGTAACAAAAATCTCCTTAATGTTGCGAAAGATATTGAATCCATAAAGACAAAAGTGAAGGAGATTTATGATAACAAGATGTTTGGAATTGAAAGTATACAACATGGAGAGCCTTCACGTAGAAGTGCGAGACAGAAAAGAGAACCTCTTGTGGAGGTAGAAAATGTTGTGGGTTTTGATGAGGAGGCTAGAACCATTATTGATCGCCTCACTAAAGGGCCAGAGCAGCTGGAAGTTGTCTCAGTTGTTGGCATGGGTGGTCTTGGTAAAACGACTTTGGCCAGAAAAGTTTATTCTGATCCTGGTATTGAATATCACTTCTATCTCCGTGCATGGACATATGTTTCTCAAGAATACAGTAGAAGGGAAGTGTTTCTTGGCATTTTAGAGTCTCTAAATCTCACTTCCGACCAAATGTACAAAATGAGTGATGAAAAGTTGGCTGAGGAACTATGCGGACATTTGAGGAACAACAAGTATCTCATTGTCATTGATGATGTGTGGACAACAGAAGCTTGGAATGATCTTAGAAGAGCCTTCCCAAACACTAACCTAGGGAGTAGGATATTGCTAACAAGCCGAAGCACAGAGGTCGCTAAGCTTGCTGACCCTGATAGTCATCCTCATCATTTGCGTTTTCTAACTGATGAAGAAAGTTGGGAGTTACTCTGTAGAAAGGTTTTCCGAAGAGGCAGCTGCCCTTCAGAGCTAGAGGCCCTTGGGAAAAGAATTGCAACAAAATGTTATGGACTTCCTCTTGCAATTGTGGTTGTCTCTGGGCTTCTTATAAAGAGAGATAAAAATCGTGATTGGTGGAAGAAAGTTGCTGAAAGTGTTAGTTCATATGTTGCTAAAGACCCAAAGCAATGCATGGATGTGCTGGCACTGAGTTACAGACACTTACCAGAACACTTGAAAATTTGCTTTCTCTATTTTGGAGTTTTTCCTGAAGACTATGAGATCCCTGTTTGGAAATTACTCAGATTATGGGTTGCAGAGGGATTTATACAAGAAATAGGACTTGAATATTTAGAGGATACTGCAGAAGATTATTTGGAGGATCTTGTTGATAGAAATTTAGTCTTAGTGGGGAAGAGGAGGGCTAATGGTCGAATTAAGACATGTCGCATTCATGATATGCTGCGTGATTTGTGCGTGAGAGAAGGCCAGGCTAACGAGTTCTTGCAGGTGATAAAATCCTCTGACCAAAATCCATCCACCCCATTCCAGAATCGCTGTCGTCGGCTTTGTATCCATTCAAAGATTTTGGAATTCATTTCTTCAAAGCCTTCAGATCCACGTGTCCGCTCTTTCTTGTGTTTTGCTACAGAGGAAAGGGAGTTACCTCGGAAAGATACGTCATCCATATATGACGCCTTTAGACTACTTAGAGTCTTGGATCTTAGATCCATCTGCTTTTCACTCTTCCCCAAAGAGATAGATCACCTGGTTCACTTGAGGTTTATAGTCCTGTTTGGTCAATTTAAAAAAATCCCGTCACAAGTTTCTTCCCTTTGGAATCTGCAAACACTCATTGTTAGAACAACATCTCGTGAACTTGACATTCAAGCAGATATTTGGAAAATGAAACAATTTAGGCATCTTTATGTAACTGGCCTAAGTCGCTTAAATGGGCCTCTTTCCCGAACTCGAAAGGACAACGAAGATCCTTTCGTGCGAAGAAACATTCAAACCATTTCTACTATCTTGCCTGATAGCTGCACAGAGAATGTATTAGCAAGAACTCCTGGTCTGAAGAAGCTTGGAATTCGCGGGAGGTTAGCTAAACTTATGGAGCAAAAGGAAGGATTGAGTTTGTTTGATAATCTTTCCAAATTGGACAACCTTGAGACGTTGAAGCTGCTAAATGATACATATCCCGATCCTCCTGCCCAATGTATAGTTCCAGGTCTTCCTCAACATTACAAGTTTCCACCAAACTTGAGGAAATTAACTTTATCCGATACCTTGCTGGACTGGGGGCATATGTCGACACTGGGAGTTCTGCCAAACCTTGAAGTGCTGAAACTAAAAGATAATGCTTTCAAGGGAAGTCACTGGGAGCCACTAGATGGGGGTTTTCGTCTGCTGAAGGTGCTGCAGATCGGGAGGACTAATTTGGTTCGTTGGAATGCATTAGGTCATCACTTCCCAAGACTTCAATCCGTGGTTCTTAAGCATTGTACAAGTCTTGAGGCAATTCCTTCTGGTCTAGGGGAAGTGTCTGTGCTCCATAACATGGAACTATATTGGCCCACTATAACTGCTGCTGCTTCTGCCAGAGTAATTTATCGGCAAAAGCTACAATTGCAGTCAAAGCAGCAACAAGAGAACAATTTGTTTAAGCTTGTCATTTATCCGCCAGATATATAGCTGCACGCCACAACATACCTGCCAGTGCTTCCATTACAGGTAAGAAAACGTACTCTTATTCTTATTTTGTTTTCGAAGTTTTTCTACTCTCTTGTTTCTGAAAACTCCTGGGACAAATTCTTTGTACATTTTCTTTTCTATTAGTGGTGTGTATATTTTTGAAAACCTTCACCGATCAAGTAATAAAAGTGGGAGATCTGGAATAAGTTAGAAATGACAGAAGTTTCTTTGGAAAAGTTCACGAATTATTCTTTTAGATGGATCTGTCGAACTTTTCCATGTGCTGCCACATAATGTTGATATCTTAGATTTCCTAAGAACATCATTACTAATTTGTCATTTATGCTAGGGAACTGAATTGAGTTGGTTTGAACAATATATATATATTTTTTATGGAACTGAATTACTGGTAATCCCCACTGGTTCAGCCAAGCACAAAGAGGAGCTATTCAAACTTTTAATGAACAATATTCCAAGGGGAGAAGGAAATTAGAAAAACTTCTAATTTATGTGAAAGGTGTCACTTAGATTGATCGTATGATGCAATTGTTCATTTTACGACCATGATCGGATATTATAAGAAGAAACGAAAAAAAAAACATGAAAACCACTAGCAGAAACGGTTCTTGAGAACTCAAATTTATTTTATTTGCTCTTGTTTGTGTTTTGTAGGTAGGATGGCAGCGTACCTGTGAAGGACTGCGAGGTTTTAATATGTTTATGTATTCTGATTCTGAAAAAAATAAAAGTGTCATTACTTGTTTTTAATGTGTTGTGTGGAAAATAATTAAATATTTCCAACAATTTTAGAATTTATTCTCTGCATCGTATTGTATGATATTTATGTTTATGAATTAAGGTTTTCCTACAAAATTTGCTAGAATCACCACCGTTCGATAGACCTTGGGTAACAGTTTCTTTGTCTTCAAGCAATCCGTGGTATGAGAAAATAATAAAGCTATGTGTACATAATTTTTTACACAATGTTTTACACTCCCCTCACATGGTGGGGGGCCCACACATAATAAAATAATCGTGGGCCCCCCTCCATGTGAGGGGGTGTAAAACATTGTGTAAAAAATGAGGTGTACCCATAGCACCACTCATGAGAAAATATCGTCTTATAAGATGGTCCATATTGGTATAGAATGGAAATGTCAAAATGAACGGATCGATTTGATGCTATCAAACTGAACAAGCACAGCCTAAGGTCTTGTTTCTGTTGAAATTGACCCGTAACTTTTTATTGTTCGGACCCAAACCCAACCGCTAAGTTTTCACGTAAATCGGACTGCTCGCTGCTTAAAAAGCAGGCCCGTTCAGTCCGATTTGACTGACCTGATAGTTTGTGAAGATTTAAATGGAAAAGGAAAATTTTAAAGGCAAATAGCGAAAATATAGCATTTTTTTATCTTATCGAGGCACGAGTTAATTGTTTTGATGGTCACTAAATATATGTCTCTGTTTTTAATTTATTGATGTTGAATTTTCATCGCCAAACTTATTCAAATATTGAACTTTAGTTATAACGTAACATTTGTTTCAAACCTTAAAAGGGAATTAGTGATGTAGTTAATGGAATGCGCACGTAGCGTCTCCTCACATCGTTAACAAATTGTAATGACTTCGATTGCTCAATTAATTTTGAAAAATGTTTTCAATTGCTCTCTAAAATTTGAAAAACTTCTTTGATTGTTCCCTGAAGTTTGAGGTGGTTAATTTTGGCAACTAAATTTATAAAAATGATGTCAATCTATTGTTTGGTAAAAAATGTGTACCCGCAAGCGCACAGATAGCTTAAAAGTAATAAAGTAGACAAACAAGCCCGGGTTGTCAATCCCGCAAAACATGATTACTTAATTACACAATAGTTAAATTTAATTTTAACATATTTTTGTAGAATTTTAAGTTATTTTCATCATTTGAAAAATTCAATGTATTATGCATTTTGTTATTAAAATTTGGATTTTGCACCGACAGATAATAAATTTAATTAAATTGATTGTGTGTTTCGTTACAAAAATTCAAAATTTAATTAAATTTACTACGTGTTTCACTGTAAAAATCATTTAGGGCAAGTTTGAGCCCCATTTTTTTAAAAATACATTTTGGAATAATGATTTGATAGAGAATGTGGTTAAAAAATAAGAAAATTGTTTCGTGCGGGTTATCGCTAACAATTAAAAAAGGATCAGACTATTATGTAGGGAACAAATCTTTTGAGACAAAGTCCCAAAAATTGGTGTTTATTGACGAACATTACAATTGGAGATAAACAGGATGTCTCCAAAGGGCGCAAGCACACGAGTACAAGAAAATGATGAATTAAAGTTAATCTGAGAAAAGTAAATTATATATTTTCTGTTTGAGAGTGAGTTGTTCGATCCTTTCATCATTGTCTTCTTTTTTTTTTTATACTTCTTGGACAACTTTCAACCATTTGGAAACTGCTTGTAACCGCCCACTTTCTTCATTATGACCAACTTGTCGAAAACTACCATTCGTAACTGTTGCCACTATGCTTTTTATATAACTGCTTGCCATTGAAATTCCTAGATCGTGGGGTGTGACACGATTTGCTCAAACTGCTCGAAACTGCTGCTTTAGATAACAACGAGACATTATCTTTACTAGGATCTTGGGCGACTCAACAATTTGGGCGATGATGAGTCCATCGCTCTGGGCCACCATAAGGCATTTCATTCGCTTAGATTCTGGGCGTTCTGCAAGCTTGTACGATGATGTTACTTTGTTTATGGGTTTCATTCCTGGATTTCTTAATTGAGCTTCATTCTTTGGGCCATTCAAATTGGACTACACTTTTTGTATGTCAACAGAAATATTTTGAATTTACGTGTAATATAATTTTATTGAAGAACATATGATTAAAAATAAGAGAGAAAAATATATTTTAAAAATAATGAGTACCAAATAAGGGTTTAATTAAATTTATTGTGTGTTTCGTTGCAAAATCCGAATTTTAATTCAATTTTAACAACGAAACGTAAAATAAATTTGAATTTTTCAAATGACGAAAATATCTTAAAATTCTACAATATGTTAAAATTAAATTTAACTATTGTGTAATTGAATAATCATTTCTCATGGAATTGACATCCTCGACTTATTTGTTCACTTTATTACTTTTACACGGCCCATGCGTTTGCGAAATACATTTTTTAACGAACACCAGGCAGACATCATTTTTATAAGTTTAGTGACAAAAATTCGATCACTTAATGAGCAATTTTACAAAGTTTAGTGGACAATCGAAGAACTGCAGACGGCTCCACAAATGCATTCCGTTAGCCGTGTCACTAATTTAGTTAACGGCTTGAAATGAATGTTATGATAGTGAATAACACCCAAAGTTTAAATGAGTTTAATGGTAAAAACTCGACATCTTAAAGCTCAATGAGTAATCGAAAACACGTACATAATTTTATTGACCATTGGAATAATTAACTCTCCATTCTGCCTTCAATCAACACATATCATCTCCAAAAGACTCTTTATTTATAAAAATATATATTATGTATTATAGAAAGTATTTTTAAATTTAGAGAGTCAAAATTTTACACTCCTACAAGTTCTCTATTTTGACTCTTCATTTTGTTTTTCTCAAAAAGCATTTATTGATTTTTTTTCATATTTTGTTTAAAATAATTTTTTATATGTCAATTGACCAATTAATTTAAATGTGATTTGAATAGTTTAATAAATGAAGTATTGAATTATGTGATTTGTCAAATGCATTCATTACACATTAAAAATACAGAATGTGTTTGACTCTAAAAAATTGGAGAGCCAAACCCACTCCTTATTTTAAAAAGTTAAAATAGAAAGGCTCTTGAATTTTATTTTTAAGCATTAACTCTAAAATAAAGAGCATTTTGCATTTGGAGAGCCTTTTGAAGATGTTTTGAGGCCTTGGAAACAAAGTAGTTTCTTTTGTCTTCAATCTTCTCATTTAATAAAGTGGAAATTACATGGAGACGTGTTTTTTAAGATCCAACTTCATAAATAAGGATTTCTTTTGTTTTGTGAGTATATGAATTTCCACATTCAAGGACACTGCAATCTTATTCAGTACCGTTGTTGGCCCAACTTTAATTGGGCATATAGTTATGACCTCATCTTTTAACATAGACCCAAATTGAGATCATGAGTCACAAAATATGCCTCGATGGAACACACAATAATACGGCGAAATGCTACCCCCCACAAACTTAGGGTACATATGAAATTAACCATGTAGTGTGTGCATCAACTCATTTAAAGTTTTGCCGTATTAGCCAAACCACCAACATTCACTTCCTCTAAACCCATCGTGAACCTTGTGATGTTTCATCAGTGAGTTCTTAGTGGCTAGTGTCATTTGATTTCACTTTACTACAATTTAGCAACCATAGATGGAAGTGTTGCAAAGGTCACGGCAGTTTCATATTCAACTTATTGGACAGTGAATACAAAGAGACGCAATGGTTGGCAATGGACATTACATGATTAACAAAGTCTGAAGACAATTAATTGCATACGGTTTCCACAATAAAAGTTTAAACAAAATATTTAACAGCCAGTTTCCGTGCGTTGGAAATTAAACTCAACAAATACAATAGACAATTACAAATGTGAAAAGCAAACACGCAGAATATGCAGATTTTACTTACTGGATACGGGAATTTTTGCGCAGCAAGTTTATCGTCCAGGAAAAAAAGGATAATTGTTGTAATATTTCGAATACCCGCTATAATTTCGTCTCCACAATAACAAAATAAAACATGCAGGCAAAATAATCCTATTATATATAAAACTATTCACTATTTTCATGAAAACTACTAAAAATTGCATGGAACTTTCTGCACTATTAAATTGCTCAACTATATATCGAGTTAGAACAAACGTTAAATCTAATGCAGCGCGAAAATAGAATATAAATATGAAAAACAAAATTCGTCTTACGAGTATTCGATAAATTAGTGCATAATTTATATTCCTCTAACAAAAACACGTGCATGCAAATATGAATAGAGTAATGACTTACTGAAACCATGACGTGTGCATAATTATGAGCAAATCACTATTAAAATAAAAATAGTGATGGATGAGGAAAATTAAAATAAAATTGATTAGAGTTTGGGATGAAANAGGTGGAAAATTCTAGGGTTTGCCGGTTTGGAAGAAAATTGATTAGAGTTTGGGATGAAAATTATACAATTAATATTTAAAATTTAAAATAAAATGTCTGATTTTTTAAAAGTTAAACCTTTAATCTGATTTTTGAAATTGAATCTTCTTTAAAAATCTGGTTTTGTGTAATTTCCTCATGTATCAAAGCAGTGGATAAGACATTGGGACCAATCATTCGGGCTTTGTTTGGTGGAAATTAAAATTCATATTTTAATTTGAGTCAAAATCAATAATTAATTTTAAAATATATTTTATGAGACCTACAACTTTTCAATTATACATTTCATCAACTTTATTCAAAATTTACTAAAAATCTAATTTTAATTCCTACCAAACAGTGGCTCAATCTCTTAGCTTAGGTGAATGGTAGAAATGCTTGAATAATTTGATCTCTCTATGGAAGGTTAATTTCTCATTTAAGACCCTTACAGTAGTCTCTCTATCATGATTCAAGAAGAAAAATTAGGACTTCATTATCATGATAATCTAGTTCGGATTTTATTTT